TACAGTGGTGCAAATGATGCATTCATGCCAGGGCCCATGGAGGCCCAACTCACTGACAGCAGGGTAGGGGATGTGCAGCAAGTCCAGGTAGTTGAAACTTGTATTTCCTATTTTTCTGTCCAGTGACTATTCAAAGTATAGCTGCAGACACTGGAAAAGAACAGGGATTAGGATAAATGGTTTGATTGGAGAGAGAAAACACTGTCACTAATACAGCAGGTGGAATAGCCCCATCCTGTGTTGTAGATTTCTATAGTTCTGTATTTGCAAGAGGTTTCTGTTCTGGAAATTATTCCAAATGCATTCCATATGAAACTGAAGGAAGGTTCTATCTCTGCATTGCACAAAAAAAGATCTGGGATCTCTTCTCATAAAAATGCAACAGTGATAAAGGTAACAGATCTAAAACTGAAGAAAAGGTGAAAAACATGGGCAGAGAAAATGCCATTCAGACCATCTGGTCCACTCCTCTCACAGATATCCAAAAGCCACCCTACCACGCTTTTATCTGGGAGATTTTTAATAAAGAAGAAAAATGACAATAGTAAAAATAAATTGAAACAGAGAATGCAAAAAACCTTAAAAATGATTGAGGAAACATTGTTATGTTGCATCTTGTATTGAGTTTAGACTATTACCACACTGTAGTCTGTTTAAAGTGTTGCTCTTAGATTAAGCTTGTAAAGAGTATACTGTGCAAAGTAGAATACTAATGCATTAGCGATTACATTTGTTTTATTGAGAGACCCATATCTGTTATTGCTTATGATTTATTTAATATATTATAGCACTGCATTTATCTTTGGATAATCTCCACAGATCAAGTTCCCATGGTGGGCAGGGCAGAGCCTTTCTAAGTCACACATCTGGATTCGGCAGATGTCCGCAATAGACGTCAGTGTTCCAGCTTGTTACTGAAGGAAAATAAGCAAAAAAAATCAAAAGAAGCCATAAAGAATATCCTGAGGACACACTGTAAATTTTAAAAAGCTGTTTTTCCCCTAGAGTATTTTAGATTTTAATCTTTCTTCTCCCTCCTTGTTCCCTTGTTTCTTTTTGTTTATTTATTCTCTCCCATTTTCCTTCCCTGAAAAATATTTGCTTTCTTCTTAAAACTCTGGCTCTGAAATGTTAATATTCTTCTAATTAGTGAACTGTGCTCCAACTCTTTGAAACATTTTTTCCAACTATTCTTCTTCCTTTAATCTAAAGACGTAAGATATGTCATTTAGCTTCTCTCCCCTTGTGATTCTCTGAATCTGAAATTATACCCATGTCACTTTTTCTTGGTCATTACAGCTTTCATGCCCATCTTGCATTCTACAGATCAAGCTCTGATGGAAAGTTGACTTTGCAGAAGAATCTTGAAAGAAATCAAAGGGTTGCAAAACATAAATGGTTGAGGAGCATTGCAATTGGCATAGCTCAGAAAAATTCAGATGGCCCAATGTATACTTTGTCTTACACACGCTGGGGTATTTCCATTTTTAAGAAATCCTATTTCTTATTTCTTCAATTAAAAAAAGTCTGTTAAAAATGTCCACTAAGGGAACTTTTCATTTAATGCAATATCTTTATCTGTGATGTATGGGCGTGGCAAGCATTCCTTCAGATAGCATGGACCCCCTGAAATGAGGAGAAAGAAAGCCTAGCCAATGTTACATCTAATCGCGAAAAAAAGAAACTGTGATATATTTAGTATTCAAATATTCATCTTGATTGGAGCAAAGCATTTGCTATGACTACGTTCTGAATGATGGGATGAAAACCACGAAACGCCATCGCTCTCTGTACCATAAGAGTTTGTTTGGGGGAAGTAAAACTTTATTTTACATTAAAAAATGGAAATAGCACTTCACTGAAAACCACGTTAGTCTGAGCAAGTTATTACCACAGGGGAAACGTTTATGCAATGAATCATGTAAACTAAGGACTGCAAATTAAAACCTGATCCAGAAAGGAAAACCAGTTTAAACGTCAACACACAGTTAGTTGTCTTGTTGTGTCACGTTAACACTGCAACAGTTTGATCCCCAAAGTGCATGGGAGGAAGCAAGGACTCAGATGTGAGTTCAACCATTATCCTCTGCTATATTGCTGCTATAATACTTGATTTCACCTTCCACTCCCCCACAACCCTCCCACCTCCCCACCCAAAAAAAATCCCAATTCATTTGGAAAGGTACTGCTCGTTAAAGCCAATGAATTTTTTTTCGCATCTGATAGTAACAATTTATTGTTAACGGTAGCCAGTGCGAAAATGGAAAAAAATCGAAACGAAAACAGAGCACCTGTTCCCATACACTCTTGGACGGTTAATCAGATTGATAAGGACTCGCTCTTTCATGCACCCAAATCTCAGCAAACCATATCACAAGTTCAGGTGTGAATGTTTACCTGAAATCGTGGGTGGAGTGGGGTTTGCGCTGAGCAAACCTTTTTTTGAGTTCCTGATCAGGACTCAGTACCATTTAATTCATGCATTTCGTTGCAAAGGAGTGAGATCTTACATCTTACAGTAAATAGTCAGGGTTCGATTGCTTAAGAATCGTAAACAAATAAGTCCAAAAAAAAAACTTCGTTGAAACAATAGGTACACAAATATAAAACTTTAGTCTTAAATCACCACTGATTTGTACATAGCATTGTGTACCCGCTCTAAACACTTGATTTACAATAATAAAGTAAACTCCGCCAAGGATTGCTCACCGCTTGCAATGTCTTTTGAGCCACTGCAATCAACAGTTATTAATAGCTGGGGGGTGGGGGTGGGGGGGGGGGGACTCAGTGATGAAGAATTATTTTCTCAATAGAGTTATCAGTCTTACTGAGATGAGAAGCTGATAGTGGAATCACAACCTTTCTAAATGTTTACCAATGCCGCACTGAGTTCAGAATGGATAAATTGGATAATTTAGTACGTTGGTTCCAAACAATAATCGAGGACTTGTTATCAGGGAGGAATCAGCAGCCGTGTTTATGTGTGGACTGTATAAAATGTCAAACTCAGATTGCTTCCAACTCACTTCTCCTCCAGCTTTTTTTGGGGGGCGGGGGACCTCAGAAAGCGGACAGTTTAAAGGTCCGACAATTCTTGAGATGCAAAGAATGGTTCTCTGTCCACTAACGAAAATGAAGCAATGCCACTTTCGTTCTCCAAGGCGAGCAAATGGATTCAAACCATGCCTTTGGTTTTGGAGGGGTAAACAAATACCACCAGAGGACCAGCAGTTGCAACAAAGAGGGGACGAGTCACACAGGAAGGAGCCTTCAACTGGGACTCCTTGGGGTTGGTGCCTCCAACACTACCCTGGATGCTTGTGGCTTCCTGCAGTGTCGTTGGTCCAAGCAGAAGCAAGGAGACGACCCAAGTCCATATGGGGGCAATCTTGCCCACGAGGAACTCCTACCCAGAACCACAGTCTGCAATCCCGCCTCAAGAGGTTACTAATATACAGGTTGAATCCAAGAGGCAAACTGTGATTCTTTTTCTAACAGGGACTAAAGCAAACTCTATAAGTATGGTGTGTTGGACATCATAGGTTCACGTGGGACGAGAAGAGATAACTGGTCAGTGACGTGCAAGAGGGGAGGGGAGATGAAAGCACAAATTAGTCTGATGGAGAAAAAGTCAATTTATCCCCAGTAAATAAAGAAAACGTGCCTCAAAAGGCATCAGTACCGTCTGGAAGTACTGAAAAAGCATTGTCTCCCCAATACAAATAAAAGGAAGGTCAACTTTAACCTGAAAAAAATTGCCTGTTTGGTTTCTTTACTGGAGCAATTCACTTTGCAATTGATACTCTGTGTGTGGGTGTGTTCTCCTCGCTGATAAAACCCACAGTTACCTGCCCGAGAGTGTCCAGCCATCACTGGGGATGCTGATACATTCGGATTCATTCATTTGTGTTTGATAAATGGCTCAACAAAATCATTCCCTTTATATTCCTCTGAGATGATCAGATTTCGACCCCTATTTATGAAGAGACTTCAGGCACGTCGCTGTGTAGTCCACGATGTGGTTGACCGAAGAAGAGGCACTTTTTTTGGAAACACTGTTGAAAGTACAGAGATTTAAACGTGTTGACATACAGGACAGGTACTCGTGAATCCTTCCTGCTGCATCTTAAGCTAATGCAAAAGGTACGTCAACCCTCTGGCTCAGAAGGCTTTAAATTCACAGAAATGAAATTCATATGGGAGTCAGTAAGTAATCATGTTCCAATGTAAAGTAGACTAAACCTTCAGCAAATAAAAAAGAAATTTGGGCAGACACTTGAACAGTTAAACCTGCTATATGTTTAACGATTTACGTTTCTATTTTACTCCAAAGTTTTTATATGTACTGAATTACAGTCTGGGGAGGCTGATGAGATTCAAATCGACCCCCCCCCCCCACACACACACACTACACACACCATCACGATCACATCCAAACCAAGATTCATGTGAGGGGAGACAGAAAACCATTGCAACAATTTACAAACTAGAGCCCCAGAGCTGTGTAACTACTGCACAATTCTGCAATTGGGCTAAACTGCAAAAGCTGATTCAGGGCAAACACCAGCAATTTCTATTGATACCCACATTTACCAGGGTCGCAGTTTAAATATGGGTCGAACCAACAAAACAATAAGTCACTGGAGGAGCTGGTTTTACAACATGTGCATCCAAGTTTCTCACTTATTAAAATAAAAGAGTCGCTTCTCCCCTTCCTTTCTGGCTGAGTTTTCAAATGGACTGTGTGGGGGACAGTGAACTACTAATGTCCAGAATTCCAGCATGGGAGGGAGGGAGGGAGGGAAGGATGGATGGAGAGGGGTGTGTGTGTGGGGGGGGGATTTATTTACCGAGAAGGTAAATAAACAGAGCTGGCAACTTTGCAATTCTCTCTCCAACACACACACACACTCTCTCTCTCTCTCTTTCTCTGGGCAGAGCCATGACATCATCAAACAGAGTTAATAAGGTTGGGTGAGGAGAGCCTCAGCTCTTTAGGTGCTTGAAACTGCTCAGTGGCTGATAATGCAGAGATCGCCCATAGAAAAGGCCAATGCCTTTTCCAAACTCTTCTTCAGGTAAGAAAGAGGCTGCAGACCGCAGCGCTGCCCTTTTGCGCCCTCTGCTCCCCCTTTTTTTTTCATCCTTCGCTGCGCTTTGCAAAAGCCTCAGCCATTTGGAAAGTTTGCAGAGGCGACCCCCCCCCCCCACACCCCCACACCCCGCGCCCCCCGAAGCACTGCACTTTTATTAATCATTATCCGCTCCGGCTCTCGGGTCCACGGGTTTCGATGGCTTCTTTTTTTTTTAATTAGAAAAAAAAATTCTGAATGACCCGAGAGAGGGTACTCGGATCTGATTCGGTCGAAAGACAACTGGAAAGTTCAGAAACACCTGTTAAAAGGTTCCCCTTCTCTCGTCGAGCAGCTCCTCGCAGCCACAGCACAAAGTAATAGCACTCGCCCTTTGCAAATCATTCCCCCAAAGGTTTCTGGTGATGACTGGAGCTTCGCTCTGGTTAATGCACGAGTGTCCTTTGAAGGTTATTTTCTCTCTCTCTCTCTCTCTCTCTCTCCCTCCCCGAAACAAAATCTTGCAAAACTTGTTTGTTTGTCACTCTTCATATAAAAAAAAAGTTTTAAAAGTTTAAGCACTGACTTGACGGTCCACAGGCCAAGGCAAGTCACGGGTTTACTGTTCATGAGTGTAATGAAAAGAAAGTTTTAAAAGGTTTATTGTCTGTCGGTTGGACCTGTGGATACTGTATCACTCCAGAACTTCTCATTGAATCAAATAAGAAGCGGACAAGGTGTGTGCGTCCCTGGTGTTTAAAATAGGTGCCAAATGATCTGAGATTTTCAATATGTTTGGCATCAAAGCATTCGTTTAAAGAATACAAAATAATGTTTGAGTTTGACGCAGCGCTTTTCAAGTCCGGAGGACTTCTTAAGGCGCTTCATAAGATTCACTGCGAAGCGTGGTGACTGTGCATTCTGCAAGCAAACGCGGCGGCCAATTTGCGCTCAGCAATGCCCCGCGGTATGTTTTCACCGGAAAGTGGCCGTGGGTCTATAGGTTGTGATTCAAGGTGCAGACGGTTACTGAGCTGTAAAGCTTTGGATAGAAGCTTCCCGCAAGGTTTTGCCGGCATACTGGTCAAAATTCAAAATTGAATCTGGAATATATGTTGAAATATAATAATGCTTGCAGATATCCGCCCGCAATGTTTTGGCTGCAGGATATACAGTCAATTCGCTTACAGTGTATTCGGTGATGTGCTTTGAGACGTCTCGAAGAAGTGATAAGGCGCTATATCAAATGCAAGAATTATAATAATAATATAATAATCCTTGCATTTGATATAGTGCTTTTCACGTCGGGAGGACGTCCCAAAGCGCATCACGGAACACACTGTAAAGTGAATTGACTGTATATTTGTGGGCGAACGTGGCAGCCAATTGCGCACAGCAATGTCCCACAAACAGTCGTAGATTGAAAATAACCAATTTATTATTGTTTTTGGTTTTGGAGGGATTATTATTAGGCATGTGGAGTAAGGAAACTTGCCCAAGGTTTCGCCCTGACCTGCCTGGAAATGAACTCAGGTCTCTCGCTTGTAAAGCGAGTGCTCTAACCACTGAGCTACAAGACTCCACCAATAATTACTATTATTATTATAATTATTATAACAATGCTTGCAGATGTCAGTCGATTGAAATAAATCAAGGAAGACTTGAGTGGGTTTGAATTATCTGGGTGTACTAACACAAATCTTCAGACAATCACATGGCTATATTAAATAATTACCTGAACGGCAAAATGATTGCCCTTCAGTTCAGTTACAGAACCTTTTTAGTTATAATAGTCTTCAGCTCATTAATTCTCTTTTGTAAATCGTGATTAATATTTCAATAATAGCAGATTAGAACTTGGAATCTGTAATAAATTCCAGCACAGGACTCTGCTAAACGACAGCATAAAAACACAACCTCTTGCATCTAAAAATCTGCCTCTTTGACTGTGCCTAGAATCATCTTCCTCTTACAAGACAAGAATTTACATTTATATAGTGCCTTTGACATCATGAGGATGTCCCAAAGTGCTTACTACATTCCACTTCTTCCTTACTTGGCTTCCAACCCCGTCTTTGTGTAGCTACATGAGACATTATCCTATGTGAAGGGCGTACAAAATAATGTAATTAGTTGTTTCTGTTGTTGTATATAAATCATTTGAATAATGCACATTTTTAAATGATTTTAATGTCTCGTTAGTATTAGATTGATTAGGTATTGAATATATGCCTTTCATGGGAAATGGAATATTGGTTGGAATATTGCTACAGTCTTGGTATTTCTTTTCGTCCAACTCTCAATTTAGATGATTGACATTATTCCCTTATTGAAATAAAAAGTTCTTTTACAGCATTTGTTCCCATTTGCTTGTAAAGAATTGATGGATCAAACATTTCTCCACATCTGATTGTTTTAGGGTATCTGGGCAGTAAATTGCTTTTATGTCTCTTGCATTGTTTACACATAGTTGTTCATTAATGTAACTTTTGACACTTGACGATTACGTCTGGTGGGAAACTCAATAAAATATAAAGGATGAATTAATAATCAACTTTGTTGGACATTTAACCCCATGTTAGAGCAGAAAGTGCACTCACCTAGACTGATGCATGCAAACAAAATTACCTGCCAATGCATTAATATTTGACTTCTTTGGTCAGCAACCCAAGTTTGGGGTTTGGATTCTAGCCGGAATACAGGTTCAGTTTTGTACACAGAAAAGGCCATTGTGGTTCTCAGTCCTGGAGTGTAGGTTTGCAATACCTTACTCTTACTCAGGGAGTTGCTCTCTCTGCCTCCTCTTTCCCCTTGTGTGCACTGGAAGGTTAATATCAACACATCTCCTGGATAGCAGGTAGCTTGAATGAAAACTTGTCCCTAATCAATACTTCTCAGGAACTATTTCCAGAGCGCAAAACTGTTCACAAGTTCCAGCACATCATCACTCATAATATATTCCAATGACCTCAAGTAATCGAAATTGCATGCTGTTGACCAAGTGACTGTTAAGCGGCAAAGAGCAGAAGCTGAACTGCGACTGTAAGGTGACATGCATTTGGTTCATACTGGAAACCACTACAAAGCTTTTAAAATTGTACTTGACTCCTGAATGGTGATGCAGTAATTCAGCGTACTAGTGTTCCATGCTATGGATACAGAACTGTGCCCATAATTTGACCTATCTTATAATTGCTGCGTCATTGGGAGTCGCAAAATGCTTTCTCACATGTAGAGATGAAAACACATACACAAATCACATAACACAATATTTGCTCACACATACGTACACCCACACAAATTATATAATACCTTTCACGTCAGGAGGACATCTCAAAACAACACAAACACAACACACACAAACACAAGACAGACACAACATACACATGTTATTCCAGAATATCTAGCACCCACCTCCTCACAGGGAATTATGCTAGGAGAGTCATGGATTCATAGTCAGAGAACGATATATTGGCAAAGAGGAAAGACACAAATAAATTTATACTTTACAAAAAAAAATCCTGAAGTAATGAAATTGTACACATATGCCAAAACATTATCATCTGGTTCCATACCACTGAATACGTTGGCATTTCTTCCAGTGTCCTGGCCAACAATCCCCCAACTGTAGAGTCCGGTAGCTCAGTGGTTAGAGCACTCGCCTTGCAAGCAAGAGACCTGAGTTCGATTCCCGGCAGGGTGAAACCTTGGGCAAGTTTCCGTACCCAACATGCCTGATAATAATCCCTCAAGAAAAAAACAATAATAATTTGGTCACTCAATCCATGACTGTTTGTGGGACACTGCTGTGCGCAATTGACTGCCGGTTTCGCCCACAAATATACAGTCAATTCACTTTACAGTATATTCTGTGAAGCGCTTTGAGACGTCTCGAAGACGTGAAAAGCGCTATATCAAATGCAAGGATTATTATTATAACAAAAATTGGTCACTCACTCCATGGCCACTTGTGGGATATTGCTATGCGCAATTGGCTTCCATGTTTCGCCCACAGTCAATTCACTTTACAGTATATCCTGTGAAGCGCTTTGAGATGTCGCGATGATGTGATAAGGCGCTAAATCAAATGCAAAGATTATTTTATCTATTATTGATTTGTTGATAGGTTTAAAAAAAAGCATTCGGTTTATTAGCCCATTTACCTAAGAGCACATCATATCAATGTCAACAGTGCTTATCCTTTCATTGCAACATTACTTGAAAATGTTCTTATTCTGTCTCAATTCCAAATTCTATTCATTTTGATTCACTAAATTGCATCGATGTCCTCAGTTACCCTGCAACCTACCCCACCACCACCACTAGGTTGGGCTCCAACTTTGCCAGTGTATAGTGCTCCAAAATATTATACTACGTGAAGGATGCTGTATAAGTACAAGTTGTTGTTGTTTTGTGATATCCTCATGATGTGAAAGGCACTATGTAAGTGTAAATTGTTGGTGTTCATGTTAGCTAGAATTATAATTATCGGCCTTTGGTGATTCAAATCATTTTCCGTGATTTTATGGTTTGGTGACCAGCCTCGATTGGGAAGTACATTTTTCACTGCGTTTCCTCAGTGATTTCCTCAGGGACGTTCCTCAGGGACATCCTCCCGACGTGAAAGGCGCTCTATAAATGGAATCTTGTTGTTGTTGAGTTATTGCGACCCTACCACCTGAAATTGTTCTTTACTTAATATATTAATCAGAAATGATGATAGTGGCACATTACATCAAAAGCAATGGATCTGCAGTATAATCACGTCTTGTGCCATCTTTCATTTACAAAATAACTCGCATTCTTTTCATTGCTTATCATTTTTAAATATTTCAAAGCACTTTACAGGTAATGATTTCAAATGACATTATTTGTAGATGAACATCTACCCACAGCAAGCCCTCACAAAAAGGCCATGAAATGAATAATCAATTGTATTTGGGAGGATTGTTGGCCTGGACACTGGGAGAAACTCCCGTTTTTCTTTGAGTAGTATCATCGAATCT